CTGGGCAACTTGGCAGGGGAAGGAGGTCCACTGGCTGCTATTTGCCTGCTAGGGCCACCATCCCAAGGCAGCACACTGGGGGTCCATGCCACAGAGATGTACTGCCCCACAGCCCTGGGGGCCAACACCCCGAGTCCAGGAGTCCCAGGCTGCCTCGCCCGAGGCCTCTCCTTGGCGTGCAGAGTGCATCTTCTCCCTAGGTCCGCACGTGGCCACCCTCTGGTCTGTGTCCTGATGGTCCTCCAGATGGGAGCCCACCCATGACCTTGTTGTACCTGAATCGCCACCGGCCACCGTCTCCAAGCACAGCCACACGCTCAAGCATCAGGGCTGGGACTCAGCGTGGGAGCTTCAGGGGACCCTGATTCACCCCATAATAGTGGCCGCAGCCAGGTGCCACAAACGGGGTGGCTGAAGCAACAGAAGGTCATTCTTTCACAGTTCTGAAGCCACATCCCCAGCCCTTTCATTTGATTTCGAGACCAGGCCTCACTAAGTCGCGGAGGCTGCCTTTGAACTTGTGACCCGCGGCCTCGGCCTCGGGAGCAGCCCCTGGCTCCTTTCTCACAGCACCAGCCACATGGGCCCAGGCCGTCAGGGGAAGGCGGGTGCTGTCCCCCGGGCCGGCCGCGCGCTCTAGGTGCTGTGTCAGGATCTGGTCGTTTCAGTTGTGGGCTGGGTGCTCCTGGAGCCTCTGGTGAACGCCCGGGGCCTTCCCTAGTCACATCAGTGTCTTCTTGGGGACAGGCGTGTGGTGCACACCCACGGTGCTGCCTGGGGTTTGCCTGGTGTCACAGGCTTTGGTGGCTGGGCTGTGGGGTCGGCAAGCTCCCTGCCCCTGTCCATGCTCCTTCGGCCGAGTGGTCCAGCTCAGGTCCTGCTGTCCCTGCAGAGCAGGTGATGTGGAGGTCGCAAGGCCACCGAGCTCTCTGCCTGTCCCCAGGGTGCCTTGGTCTTAACCTCCACAGGTCGCCACTCCTCAGCGCTGGCTGGCTCTTCCCTGGGCAGAAGAGGCTGCTGTCTCTGCCAGCCCTTTTAACCCCAGGTCCTGGGGCACCCCTCGCCACCCCCAGGATTGATCAAGGTGTTCTCCTGAACAGGCCCAGTGCACCTCTAAGGCGAGTCCTGACGCAGCTGGTAAAGTCAACACATCCCCAGGACTGCTCCGCGGGAGTCCTGGGGAGGATGCGTCTGGGCCCCTGGCTGCCTCACAGTGCGGTTCTGTGGGTGACAGCAGTGACGCAGATCAGGGGTCACCTCTTACTCACAACATGTCCCCCTTCATGTCACTTAGCACCTCAGAATGCCACCTTATTTGGCAACAAAGTCTTTGCAGACAGGTAGATGAGGTGGCCTAAGTGAGGGGTGGGCCTAACCCAGTGACCGTGTCCTTCTAAAAGGCCTCCAGAAGGCAGCCCCCAGCAGCTCCACCCCAGACGTCAGGCTCTAAGGCTGCAGGAGAGCGTGTGTGCCTCAAGCCCCCAGGTTGAGACCCAGGAAAGGCCTCTGCCCACCACACCTGCTAGGAGCAAGTGGCCACTTGCTGGCTCTGGAACCCAGGCAATGGGGCCGCCACCCGCAGAAGCGGAATTGGGTCCCTTGCAGGAGGGCTGGGGGGGAGCCGTGGGTGGCCATGGACTTTGCTCACACCTTGCTGGCCAGAGCAAGTGCTCAGCCATGCTAAGCACAGTGGGACAGGGACTGCCCCCACGTGCCCGAGAAGAGACGACACAGAGGGGAATGGCCCAAGGGTCACCAACCATAGGTGTGAGCCAGGTGGGGGTTCAGAGGGATACCACAGCACCCAGAGCTGCACTCTCAGGGAAGGTCCCCTGAGTTGTGACTTGTGCTGGGCCACCAGAGGGGTGAGGTGTCCTAGAGAGAGAATGTGAAGGACAGAAGCTCTTCTTGGCAGGTCCAATCTGATTGGGTCAGGCCCACCCAAATTAGTCTCCCTAATTAAAGGTCAACTGAAAGGAACCAAAGTCACATCTGGAAAGTTCCTTTGCAACCAGGGCAGGGATGTTCACAGGGTCACCCCATATTGCAGGGCAGAGGGAACACAAGGCTGTGGGCACTGTGGACCTCGGTAGAGTTCTGCCTGCCACAGCCTCCAGAGGCACTGAGGAGGAAGGAGACGGCAGCAGGGGCGGCTGGTGCTTGCTGACAGCGCAGCCTTGCAGGCCTTGGCCGAGCAACTCAGGAACAGGGGCCTTCCTCCCCAGGCCTGTCCCTGCCTCCTGCGTCAGGGCACCAGACTTCCCCATTTCACAGGACCATCGACGCACCCAGGAATGGCAGCCTGGCTCTGGCTCTCCGGCAGGATCCTCAGAGCAGCCAGGCAGGGAGGCACCAGTGCCCAGTGGCCTACTGACTCCTGTGCACAGGGCCCTGGTGGGGAGGGCTACTATCCGCCATGGCCACAGCACCAGCCTGCCCACTGTCCCTGACATCAAGAGTGGCTCTGGGAGCAGATTCAGCGACTGCCACAGCTTGATGTCCTGGGCTGTCATCCCCAACTGATGGGTAACAAGAGATTCAGGCGAGAAGTCCAAGGAGTGGGCAGTCACTGGCTGGGACCACTGGAGGCCCGAGATGTGACATACTTGCAGGGCAAGGTACAGACGGGTCTGGCTGTGACACGGTTGCTACTGTCCTCTGATATTCCTTCTCCTCTTCTCCGGAGCAAGACAGTCCTATTCACATGTGGCCCTACAGATAGACAACCCTCTCAACCACCTGTCTCCAGGAAAAGCTGTGTGGATGTTTGACCCCCAGGTGTGGGGCAGGAGGGACCTTCCCAGATTTCTTTGAAGCCCCAGGCAGTAGGCAGAATGAGTCCAATCCCTGGAGACTGCATACATCCCATTACATGGCAAAAGGGCCTCTGCAGAGGCAGTTAAGGTCAGGGACCTTAAGATGGGAAGGTTGTCCCGGTGTACCCAAACCATGGGAGACTACTCAGTAATGAAAAGGAACCAACAGGCTAGGACTGCGAGGGATGTTATCTCAATCTGCTTGTGTTACTGAAACAAAACACCTAAGACTGGGTAATTTACAGAAGAAAAAATTATTTTCTCACAGTTCTGGAGGCTGGGAAGTCCAAACAATGGGATAATTATATGCCAACATTTCAGGGGTTAACACTGCATTAAACAAGTTAATACTCATGTTGAGCCAGCATGAAGCACTTAAATGTCAGTATTTTATGAGATGTCTTCTCCACCAGGCTGTGAACTCCCCAAGTACTGTCTTCCTCACTACTGCATGTCTAGCCCCCGTCACCAGGCACCACCGTTCGGAATGCTGTTTAAAGACTTGCGGCTGCACTGAAGGGTCTTGTAAAGCATCACCGGTGACGGGCAGCACTGCTGAGAATACACTTTCATGGGCTCCGTCCTGCCTGCCAGTCAGACACAGCCTAAATTAAAACTCTACTCTTCCCTGGAAACAGCCAAGACACACTGCTCCCGTTGCTTCCGTTGTCCTGCAAAGAGCTCTACAGCACATTCAGGTAGCTGATCCTCTGTTGTTGGAAATCTTTTCCGGGATGTAAGCAATGCTGCAGGAAGTGTCCCTGCAGGAACATCTCGGGGTGCAACTGACCGTGTGCTCAAGGTAAACCCCTGGAGTGGGGACTTCAGGGTCCCAGGGTCTGCATTTAGTGAAGGCATTTGACAGATGTCCAGGTGCAGAGACTCCCATGCCCAGCTGCCCGCACTCCACAGCCCGTCTCACTGCACAAGGCCACTCCTCTCATCTTTGTTAACCTGATGAGGGGTGAAAAATGTATTAAGTGTGTACTGAACCATGAACGAAATCAAAGATTAAAACCTATGTGCAAACCCACTCCTAGCAAGATGGTCTGAGCCAGAAGTGCAAGTGTATTTTCAAAAACGATTGAGGTGGAACATCAAAATGACCTCTGAGCTGAGACTCGACCCCTGCTCTGATTCACCCAAGCCCCTAATTAGGCCGGAAAGGGTTGGCTGTCCCGCCACCTTGTTAACACTGATCTACATCGCCAGCTTTCACGGCCTGTGTGTCCCCATTGAGCCTTACAGTTAGATGTCCAATTACAGGTCCTCCTTTGTCGCCAGCCCTGTGAGAAACTCAGAAAACGGGAGGGAGGATGGCCATTTGGTGTCACTTTGCATTTCTGGAACCCAGAGAGACCCAAACCGAAATAGTGCCAGGGACCTGGCCAGCAAGAAGCTGCGGTGAACTAGCTCTCACCACTTCAGTGTGTGCCAAGTACCGGGTGATGGTTACTCACCCTCACCAGCACACGGGGGCTGTGAGTTGCCTGGGGCCCCAGCTGGGTCAGACCGCCTGGAAAGGAGATCCAGGGAGACCTGCAGCAACGCCTTGACCTCTCCATCCCTCGTCTCTCTTTAGACCCTAGTGACCTGGGCACAACCTGGGAGCCAGGCACACCTGGAGCACTGGGCCACACTAGCAGACCAAAGGCCGGGGGCAGGACCTGGCCAGGGCTCCCCAGAGGGTCAGCGCCTGGACCCTGGTCCCTGTGGCACAGGCCCAGGTGGAGCGCCTGGGCCTGCAGGACCCTCTGCGTGGCCAGATGGCCCTGTCGCCAGCAGTGGACGTCACTCAACTTCCCCCACGGCGGGCTGGGGGCCCAGTCGTGGGCACAGGCGGGTGTGCTGGCTTTGGGGTGTGGACCGGATTGGCTGGGCAGCACTCCGAACTGGAAGGTTCTGTCGGGATCATCGCGAGCGCGGCGGTGACCCGTCCGTCTTCTCGCAGGGCCCTGGGGTCGGCGACCGCGGCCTGACCGAACACAAAGGCACGCGACGCGGGAAGGCGGGCGCCGGGCGCAGCGACCCGAGGGGCGCCCGAAGACGACCTACGCATGCGCGACGGCGTGGGCGTGGCCTGCGCCGGGCCGCGGGGGCTGGTGCGGGGGCGGGTTGGGGAGGCGGCGTCGGCGTCCCATTGGACAGCGGCGGACCTGGGGCGGGGCTTGGCTCAGCCGCGAGGCAGGCTCCGCCTCCAGCCCGCGGGGAGCTGCGCGGCGGCGGAGGCGGTGAGCGCGGGGGCGCGGGCGGCGGAGGTTGGCGGGCGGGCCTTCCGCCGTTGGGGCCGCCGTGGCCTCCTCGCCTGGGCTGGGGCGCCCGGTGAGCGCGGCCCGCTGCGCCTCTCGGGTCGGCCGGGCGGGGCTGAGGCGGCGCGGCCCAGGCGGGCCTGGGGTAGGGGCGGCCGGGCCCGGAGGCCCGTCCGCGGCGTGCGCCCGGCGCTTGCGGCCCGAGGCCCCTCCGGTGCCGGGGCCGGGTCTCTGCTGCCTGCACCCCACCTTTCCCTGAGCCTTGGCCTCTCCTGCCGGTACCGCCTCCTCTCTGCCTGCGCCCCACCCTCCCTCTCCTTCCCGAGCCGGTCACTGCTGCCTACGCCCCCGCCGGCCTGCAGGCCGTGCGCGCAGCGAGCCCCCTTCCTGCTGCCCCTAGACCCTGCTGCCCGAACCGCCATCCCTCCCCCTGAGCCCTGCTCCTGCTGCTTCCTGAGTCTCCCCTCTGCCACGAAACCCCTTCCTCTGAGTCTGTGACCCCCTGCTGCCTGAGCCTTCTTCTCTGCTGGGTCCCCTCCTTTCCTCACTGATACGAACCCCCTCTTCTGCTTCCTGAAACCCCTTTCTGTCCTGCTTGAACATCTGCTGTGAACTCCCTTCCTGCTTGGACCCCCTCCCCTAGTGACCCCTTTTTTCTGCCAGAGGCCCCCCCCTGTAAAATAGCACCCCCCAAAAAAACCAAAACAAAACAACTTTGCATTTCTTGTCAACAGCCAAGGCATCTCATCTCTTCCGTGGGTGGAGGGAACGGTCTGCAGCTGTCCCCGTCCTTTTGGGGATACAGCAGCTGAAAGAACATTCATTCTCTCTGGATTTTGTGTGCTGTGGTCAACTGTTAGCTCCCATACCCAGGCAGGGCCTTACGCATTTATTGCCTAAACCGTCCCTTGTGTGGAGGTCACAGGCTGGCCTTCAGTGTAGAGATGATTTATTGAGAAGTTTTTTCAAAATGTATGGGAAGAACTGCTGGGAGGGAATCTGCTGTATTTTATTTATGAAAAAAAAAAACAAAAATACAGGCACCTGCCTGTTGACTGAGGCCAGTTTGTCGGTTTGCTCGGTGCCTGGTTAGGGAACCGAGTGGTCTAGTGGAAGATAAGCTGAGCTAACCTGTGCCCTTGAGGATGGTGTCTGCATGAAAATTGCCAGCAAATGCCTTTATAAACCACCCTGCAAATTCTGTTGCAGGGCACGTGGGCATCAGACCTTGAAGCACTTTGTGCCAAATCGTTACCACTAACCACATGAGCCTAAATCATGACGGATGCCAAGTACGTCCTCTGCAGATGGGAAAGGCGATTGTGGCCTGCAAAGGTGACAGCAGTTACTCTATAATTGCAGGAATTGGAAATGACTTTCAGGTGACAAGTAAAATCTTCATCAGGCACCAATACCTAGGAGTGCTTCCGTGAAATAATTGAACCTGAACAGTTGGCGCCTGGGTCTGTTGGCACGGATTCTCGTTCCCCATATAATGGGGTTTTGGTCTAATGCTTACAAGGTTCTACTTCCAGAAGTGTCATTTATTCACACACACACAAAGGAAAGAAAAAGGAAAATAACAGCTTTAAAAATGCATATAGGGCTCCGACTCGGAATTCCTGGCAAGAGGCTCGTGGTGGTAATGTGCGGGGTGGTGTTTGGGGTGCCTTCCTGCCGCAGCATGAAAGGCACTGTGGATGGGAGCCTGAATCTTGGGCTGGGAAGCCCACTGGTCTCCTTGTCTGAATTAGAGGAAATTGGACTGGCATTTGAAATCTTTGGTTGCATATGTGAGAAGTACTTGGTTTCTTTGTAACCCTGTTACCTCTGTGTCTCATTTTGTCTTAATAACCAGGATTGTTATTTTTTTCAAACATAGGTTTTGGCCAGAACTGAGACTTCAACAAAAAATAAGAGAAAAAAGGAATTCTTTCTAGATGTTCAAATACTCTCTCTAGAGGAAAAGTTAAGTGTTGTATGTTTTAAGTCTTTTCTGTGTGGGCTTTCTGATCCCCTACCTGACAGTGAAGTCCGCTCTTGAGAGCTCATGAACTCCTCCCTCAGTCAGTATTAACCTCGTGAAGGAGTGTTCCTAATAACCTTGGAGGACAACTGGTTTTATTATATGCCTGTTTGGAAGCTTAAGTCTAAATGAGACCATGTGTGCCATTTAGAAAGAGATGGCACAAAACTTGCGAGAACGTGAGCAATGTGCAGGGTCAGCTCTCCTGGGGGGGTCCACACGGGTATTTCTTTCCCACAGATCAGTGGGTCTTGTTGCAGACTCCAGAATTTTGAAATGTTTGGGTTTTGAACTTGTCACACCAATAGGAAACTTATTTTTCTGCATTGGAAAAAGCAAATAAACGGTTGTGGGGCAGTGTGTTGCTTGTTCTGCTCTTGGTTACCTGCGGGTAAAGCAGTGTGGACCACCTTCAGGGCGATGGCAGAGTCCGAGAGTCCTCTTCCTCTTCTCTGGGGAGGCCTCCCTGCCCTCTCCTTCCTGTGTCTGCAGAGATGCCTCCTGAGCCTGCCTGGCCCCCAGCTCGCTCTCCCTTCTGCTGGGCAGTAATTGAATACTCTGACTTACAAGGAAAGCACATCCTTTTAAACTGAAGCGCGCCTGCTGGGCTGTAAACAGCTGTCAGTGACATAACCTACTCTGAAAACCTAACAAAGGAGTTATTTGTGCAGTTGAAAGTAGGATTTGCCTCATAAAAGTCACAATTTGAATTCATTTTTACTCTTAACTCCAGCCAACCTTTCTATCTTAAAAGAGGGGGGGGGGGGAAGCAAAAAAAAAAAAACCCATCCACCAGGGTCCTCGCTGCCTCTAACCTCAGGCAGAGGAATTCCTAGTTGGCTGTTACTATTGGTGTAAGTGGGAGGTTGAGGAGGAAAATGAATTTAATTCTTTTTGTCATCTGAAGAGAAGCATGTTTGAAAATGTCTTTGTGGCCTTGGCTGGTAGCGTGTAGCCGTCCCTTCTGTCTCTGCAGAATTCAGGTGAAGAGCACGGAAGTGGAAGCCCTAGAGAAGTCTCAGATTGAGAACATTGCCTCTTTCTTAGGTAAGCGCACATTTCAAGGGATGGTCAGCCTTAGTAAATGAGAGCATTTGGAGGACGCGGAGACCACTTGGAGTAAAAGCTCACCCGGGCCCTGTTCTCACAAGGCGGAGTGTGAATGAAGGAGGGGAAACGTGGATCTGCTTTCTTAAACCTTTTCAGAATTTAACCCTAGGATCAGTTCTGTTCTTTCTTGTGTGTGATTTTTTTTTTTTTTTTTTTTAAACAAGTTGTGGTGCTGGGTTGGAACCAGAGCTTGGCACAAGCCAGGTGAATGCACTGCTTCTGAGCCTCACCTGGCCTGGAGTCCTGTTCTTGACCCAGCTCAAGGCCCTCTCCATACAGTGAGGTCTCCAGAGCTCAAGGACATAGTGGGCTTACTCCCACGAGGGGAGGGTCTTTTTCTTTGCCCATCTCATGACTGTGAGATGACTAAGTTACCACCTTGTCTGGTTTCAGCCTGGGTCTTGAAAAGTGGTCATTTGTGTGCTTAGAAATCTAGGACAGAGTCCAGGGGAGGAAGCATGGGCTGGCCTTCTCTACAGAGCCTCTGCAGCGTGGTGAGGCAGGCCGAGGCAGGAGTGGACGGGGGCTCTGCCCCTGCTCTTTCAGCATGAGCCTTTCGTGGCTGGGAAAGACTGCCTGAGCCTGGTGGAGCTGGGACCTGTCGGCACATAGCTCGGGAGCATTGGCCTCTGCGCTCACCGAGTCACAGATCCACAAAAAATTTTTTCTCTACCTAGAAATGCCAGTGTTTAACCCAGTGGCAAAAGGTTGTTTTGTGAAAAGATTGACCAGAATCCTTCCCATGGTGTTTGTGAAATAAGGCCTGGTTTCCTGGACAGCTGCTGTCACTGGAGCAGGGTGTGTGCCTGCCTGCCCCAAAATGCTGACCATGTCCTTGGGTGGCATCCCGATGGCTGGTTCAAGCTGTGTTGCAGGGCAGGTTACTTGGGGGTGCTTTTAATATTAAACAGGGAGGGCTGGGGATGTGGCTCAAGCGGTAGCGCGCTCGCCTGGTGTGCGTGCTCCCCAGGTTTGATCCTCAGCACCACATACAAACAATGATGTTGTGTCTGCCGAGAACTAAAAAATAAATATTCTCTCTCTTAAAAAAAAAAATAAAATAAACGGGCAAAATGTGGTTTTGATTGAGGCATTACACCTGCTGAGCTGCGGCATTGCCTCCCTCATCCTGTTCAAATAGCAGCGCTGGGTCTGTATGTTGGAATGAATAAGTAAAACCGTTGCCCGGGAGGATGGGCTAGAGTCGAAGGGCCCTCGGATAGCTTTCCTGGCTTTGAAATGCCCTTGTGAAGAAGTGAGGGAAATTTGGGGCTGGGTTTGGGGCTCAGTGGTAGAGCACTCACTAGCACGGGGAAGGCACTGGGTTAGACCCTCAGCACCACACAAAGGTAAATAAGGTATTGTGTCTATCTACAGCTAAAAAATTTAAAAAAAAAAAAAAAGTGAGGGACATTTACCAGCCCACAATGAGCTTTCAGAGGGCTTTCTCACTGCCCCTCGCCCCACCCAAGAGTAGCTGCCAGCGATTTCTTTCTTTAGTTGGCATTGGTTTTTTATTGACCCTGATTGAATTTGAAATTGTATGGTTGAGAGGATTTGCAAAACATTTGAATACATTTTGCTCACAGTATTGTTGTGTAACTTGGAAGAATTTATCTTGGTAGCGAATCAGGTTGAGGTCAGTGAATTTTTCTTTTCTTTTTCCTTTTTTAAAGATTGCAGCCCTGAATGAATAGCTGTCTTATAGCTTTGTCCCCTTTTCAGGGAATCGCCTGCTCTTGCCTCATTTAGGGCGAGTGCTAGCGACCACGGTGACTATGGATGTGTGGCCGTGGCAGCCCCTGGGCACCTGAGCGTGACAGGTGCTCTCTCTTGCCCCTGCAGCCTCACAGGAGGAGGTTCCTGCTGCACCCCTGGAGGAGCTGACCTACAGACGGTCGCTGCGGGTGGCTCTGGATGTTCTGAATGAGAGAGACCGCATCTGTCAAGAAGGCCCTTCCCGGAGAGAGCAGCTGCCCACGGGCGTGGCTTCCCTGCCCCGTGATATTCTCTCTCCATCTTTTCTGCCTGAGAGGAGGTGGGAATATGCACAACATGACTTGTCAGGTTTGTTCACTTGTGAAAAGGCCCCCAACTGCAAAATGGACCACAAGAAGGAGCTCAGGAAAAGTGAAAACCCAAGAGCCCAGTCGGTCAGTCCAGCCCGCGATGGTTGTCAGGATGGTGGTAGGTCAAGGAACCACCGAAGCAGTCGAACGCGGGCAAGTAAAAGAAGAAGGAATTCAGCCCCGAAGTCCACCTGGTGCCGGGGGGTGCCTGCACTTCCAGGGGCAGGGCTGGAAGAGGAAAGCCAGGGAGAGCCTGGCCGCTGGATGGCCCTGTCCTCACCTTCTCGAGCCAGGGAGGATGATGTGTGTGCCAGGGCTGAAGGACGTGATCCAGGCTTGCCATCAGGCAGCCTCACAGTGCGCCCAGCCCAGGAGGGGGCAGGAGGACGCCTGATGAAGAGGCTGTGCCTAGAGGGAGGCCGGAGGCTGCAGACTGCACAGCTGGAGCCAGCGGCCTCAGGGGCAGCGCTGCCTCCGTCCAGCACTCCTGCAAAGGAAGTGACACACCCTGGTCTGCAGGCCCACGGCCAGCTGCAGCAAGGTAACCCCCGCTGCTGGCCCTGGGAGGCAGCACTCGGGCTCTGCCAGGACGGAGCCGTTGGCAGGCACTTGGTGTTTCTAACCAGATCTTACTGAGACTGTTACCAAAACAGATTCAGAGCAGAGTTTCTCTTCCTTTGTGTTTGTCTTCCCACTGAGTTGTAATTGCTTTAGGTTCTCCCAGATACCATGTCTGTACTATTGTTGGGGATGGGAGTAAGTGGGACCTGTGGCCCTGGTGGAGTGTGGCTGAGCAGCTGCGCCACGTGTCAGACACACAGGCCGGGAAGCGTGGTGCCCAAGGCTCTCGGCACCTCTTTATTCTTAACCTTGCAGAGCCAGTTGCCCTCCCATTCGGTGAGACAGGACTCGTCTGGGGAATCGCTGTGTAGACAGCTACATGTAGTTCAGGCCCGTGCTGGGATCCCCATCCCAGCCTCCAGTACCTCACTTGCTTTTGAAATGTCGATTCAGGAACCCTCACTACCACAGGGTCCAGTGTCAGGAGTGAGCTCCCTGCAGACGGCTGCATGGCTCTGGGTCTCCATTCTTATATAGCCCACCTCTCACCCTGTAAAGGCTCAGGAGCCAGTTTGTGCCTCGGCACCATTTCCTGAAGTGACCATGCCTGCACCCTGCCTTGTCTCAAGTCAGTTCTCAGGCTGGCAGGGGATAGTGCAGCAGGACAAAAGAAGCAAGTCCCTCTGAGTCCGCTCGGTGCCTGGCAACTTAGCCTGCTGCTGCCTGGAAAGGCATCTCCCTCCCCCTCGTGTTTACTTTTCTTTGAAATGAACCTGAGCTGGGTGTTGTTGGGTGAGGAGCTGCCTAGCTCGCAGGGGCCCTGCGCTGACCCCTGTGCCGAGAGGACTCGTCATGACAGTTTAACCTCACTATTGGCAGACCCTCCATCTTCTGAAGAGTCCATGGAGTGTGGTTCCATCAATTCCATCCTGGATGCAGATGAGGAGGACGAGGAGCCACCGAGGATCCTTCTGTATCACGGTAAGAAACAAGCACAGAGCTTGCTTTTGGGTGTAACAGGACACTCGGAAGAAACTGGGCCATGTTCCGAGACCGCTTCTGACATCTCCCCGAAAGGTCTCTTGCCATTGGATTTTTCTTCTACTAAACCAAGACCTGAGAGGGACCCTGAGAATTGCCTTTTTCTATGTTCTTAAGAGTAACCAAATGGAGGGGGGGGTCTGACAAAGAGACCTTCGGCCCTCCCTGTCAGCATGGCTTCTGTCTGCTTGAAGCTCTTGTCCTGTTCCTTGTGGGAACCAGTGGCTGAGTGAGTGGATGGGTCATATTGCCCTCCTTTGGGTGTAGCCGCATACTGCCTCCTGGGGGCACACCTCTGGCTGTGGTGTGGGGATGTTGGTCCTGGCGGGCAGTGTGTCCAACCCGAGGGAGCAGTGTGCACCCCAACCTGTTTGCACTGAGGCGATGTATGTTCTGGTGCCTCTGCACGTGGGGACAGAGGAGATTAGCAAGAAAAGGGTTTGATTTGAACCAGCAACAGGTGCTTTGCTTCCAGAACCAGCTGGAGCCTGCTACATCTTAGATTCCCTGCTGCCCTGCACCTTTGCTCAGGCTTGTCCGTTATTGCTGGTCTGCAGACATGCTCAGGATGGTTCAGACACGGTGCAGGAGGTCTGTGGGGCCTGCCACGGGACCCTGCAGGCCAGGGCCCGGAGGTCCTGCAGGCGCCCGCTTACTGATTGTGCAAGCATGTGTGCACTCATGTGTTCAGGCACTCTTGGTGTGTCACTCTTTTGATATTTATTTATTTTTTTAGTTATTGGCAGACACGACATCTTTCTTTGTATGTGGTGCTGAGGATCGAACCTGTGCCGCATGCATGCCAGGCGAGCGCGCTATCGCTTGAGCCACATCCCCAGCCCCTGTCACTCTTTTTTTGGAAGGGGTCCAAGAGTAGAGTCCAGGGTGCTTTAGCACTGGGGCACACCCCAGCCCTTTTATTTTTTGAAACAGGGTCTTACTAAGTGGCTCAGGCTAGCCTTGAACTTGTAGTCCTTCTGCCTTGGCCTTCTGGGTTGCTGGGCTCACTGGTGTGCACCACCATGTCCAGCTGTGCAGCTCTTTTTTTGCCCAAACTGCTTAGAGCTTTTTGTCATTAAGTAAGCATAATTGCAACCTTGAATTTTCTGCTTTCCCCCACATGATGCCAACTCAGACTTTCACGTCTCCACGTGATCTTCTGAGTGTTGGTGGCAACTAGCTATCATTTCCTAGGGGTGATGAGAGGTGGATATGGTGCCAAGGCAGAGTGCTTGCCTGACATGCGTAAGGCCCTGGGTTCCAGACCCATTTCTGCAAAATGAAGGAAGGAAGGCAGCCCATGTGTGGAGTGGTGACTCATGTCACCTGAACTGCCAGAGTGCCTGGTGGCCTCCAGCTCCCACAAGCAGGTTTGCTGGCTGGGAGGAGAGAGCTGTGCCTTCCTGGAGGGCCCGTCCCTGCACCTCCGCCAGCCAGAGCCGGGCTGGCCCTGGCCACACAACTCCTGGGGTGCTCCTTTCTCTCAGGAGCTAGCACAGGTCTGTTTTGTTTTGCCTTTTTAAACCTTGTTACTTATTTGTTTATTGGCGGTGCTGAGGATGGATCCCGTTCCTCAGCTGTGTGAGGCCAGCCCATCACAGCCCAACCACTGGGTCTCACCCAGCCCTTGAGTGGGCTTTTGTCCCCCGTTGGTTTGGGTTTTCATGCGTCAGACTCTTGGCAGGGCGTGGTGTGCGTCCCTGACCCCAAAGTCTCTGGGAAGCTGATGAGTGCCTCGTTTGGGTGGGGAGCTGTCGCCTCCTGACCTCTTACCCCCAGCCTGGTTTCTGCCAAGCGGGCCCTGGTGTGTGCCGTGAGCTGCGGCAGCAGCCTTCTGGCCGTTGCCAGTCTGTGTGCCACGGTGGTGCTCCTGGCCCTGGTACTCTCACGTTTCTAATTGTTCACTCATTTTGGGAATTTCTTGGGATGGGGTAGCCAATGTAGTTGGGTTTTGTTCATAAACAGCGTTTTAGTTATCTCATGATTTAAAGATCTTCTCCCCATTTTAAGACCTTGGTTTCTCAGGTAGGCGCCTTGAAAATAACGTTCTCCCGTGTACCTCCCTGTGGGCCGTCGGCCCCATTCCTGCTTTGTGCCACGGGCTGTATTTTGTGGTCCTGGGGCTGGGATGGAGCTGCACCCAGCCTGAACCACTGCTTTAGGGAAAAGTTCTCTTTTTGTTGTTGTTACCGGGGATTGAACTCGGGGACACTCAACCGCCGAGCCACATCCCCAGCCCGTTTTTGTTTTTTATTTAGAGACAGAGTCTCACTGAGTTGCTTAGGGCCTTGCTAAGTTGCTGAGGCTGGCTTTGACCTCACAATCTCCTGCCTTAGCCTCCTGAAGCACTGGGATTACAGGCATGTGCCACCATGCCTGGAGGGAAAAAGGTCTCAGTGTAGGAGACCTTAGGTTTACAGAAATTGCAAACACAGGACAGAACCCCCACTTGCCCCTGCTGCTGGTGCCTTCCCTGACCACAGTGTCTCTCCACTCTGAAGCATGGGCGTGTGTTGCATGGTTCGTGGTGGTTCCTTGTGCCTGCGTTCACCTTGCCGGGCCCCTGGCACAGTTGGGTGGCATTGAGATGGCGGGTGCACGCTGGCGGCTGGGTCTCTGGAGTTGCTGCTCTGGCCGCTCCGTCTGCCTGACTCTCTGTTTTTTCTTTTTTCTAGAACCAAGTTCATTTGAAGTAGGAATGCTTGTCTGGCTTAAATACCAAAAATACCCCTTCTGGCCAGCGGTGGTAAGCACGACCCTGCCCCTTGTTGGCAGCCAGGCCTGCGTCCTGGGCGTGCAGCCCTTGACCTGGTTCTGCTGCTGGGGAACACCAGTGGGTTTTGAGAAGCTGGAGGTGCCTTTGCCTAATGGAAGGGACTAGTTATTTTGGCACAATTTAGTGTGGTTCATGGGTCAAAGTTGTATCAAGCAGAATTAGAAAAACCTTCTCAAAGAAAGCGCTAGTAGAGCCGGGGTGGTGGCTCCGTGGTAGAGTGCCCGCCTAGCATGTGTGAGATACTGCATTCGATCCTCAGCACCACAAACGTAAGATATTGTGTTCACCTACGACTAAAAAACAGATGTTAAAAAAAAAAATGGAGCGCTAGTGCTGGCCCTAGTGTGTCACTTTGAGCCTGTCCCCATTAAAGTGCGGGGGTCAGGTTTCAGCTGGGGCCTTCGCAGTGGGGGGGGTGTTTGCAGTAATGTGACTCCAAGTGGCCTGGGCGCCGCCCCTGCCTTCTCCCGCCTCGGGCTTGGTGCTCATGGGCCCTATGAGTTCTGACTATGTAGCTGTAGTTGTTCAATTTTTTTTTTTTTTCAAATACTTGTGTGGTCCTGGGGATGAAAACCAGGGCCTTGGGTGCGCTAGGCAAGCACTCTGCCACCCAGCCACACCCCAGCCCTGGCTGTTTCTTATCAAGAGACAGCAGTGTTTGAACTCACAAGGTGTTTGCTCTGCTGTTTTTTTTTTTTTTTTTCTTTTATTTATTTATTTAGTTAGTTAGTTCTCAGCGGACACAACATCTTTGTTGGTATGTGGTGCTGAGGATCGAACCCGGGCCGCACGCATGCCAGGCGAGCGCGCTACCGCTTGAGCCGTATCCCCAGCCCTGCTCTGCTGTTTTAATGGCTCTGAGCTCACCCTTGCCAGCAAGACCGCCCTGCGCACGGCTGACTGTGGTCACAGGAAAACAGTCGCAGTCTGAGCAGTGTTTGCTAGGTGAAATAGGGCCTGAGTGAAGGCAGAGACTCGGGGGTGGGGGGCCTCAACCCCTTGCCCTGCTGTGCAGGGCATGTGGGGGTCCTCCTCCCTCCAGGCCCTGCCCCCACACCTCCTGGCACCTCCTGGCACCTCCTGGGCCCTACTGGGTTGACTGGTCGCTGGCAGGAGAGCTTCTGGGCACAAGGGCAGGCAGCCATGGCCTTGTTTTCGGGTCTCCTGGAGATCCTAGGGTGGTTTGGGTCAGGTCCACATGGCGGTTCCTCTGCTGTCCTGGGCTGGCTCCTAGCCTCTCTGAGCTGCCTTTGCTTGTCCCGAGAGTGAGGACGGGAACCCGTGAGCTAGTGGGAGAGCCACCCAATGCTCCTCTGGGGGGCTGCAGTGGTGGGTGCAGGTGCTCTCAGAATCCCAAGCGGAAGACCACCCAGCCCGCCTCAGAGGGGACACGGTGGAGAGCAGTGGTGTGGCTGCCTTCTTGGCCTCTGTCTGGGCCTGTGCTGGCTCTCCCCACCTGGTGGCACCGCTCACAGGCAGTGTTGGAGCCACCACTTCTTGTCTGTTCCTGACGCTGTCTCCTTGGCTTTGCCCACAGGTCAAAAGCATCAGGCGGAGAGATAAGAAGGCGAGCGTGCTCTTCATCGAAGGGGACATGAACCCGAAAGGCAGAGGGTAAGGCTGCTGTTCTTGGCTGTCTGAGTGGTCAGGAGGTGTGCTGGCGGCCCTCAGGGGGAAGGATGGCCAGGGCCCAGGCAGGATGCAAGAAGGAGCATGGAGGCTGTAATGGAAGAAATGGTTTTCAGAACTTCCTCTGCCAGCTGTGAAAGGCGGCTTGAGTGACAGGGCCCACCTGCCCAGACCGGTCAGAGCTTGCCTTGTGCAGACAGCGTCTTGCCTCCACCCAGACCTTGCTGGCTGCCTGAGGCGGGTCCCTTGGCCTTTCCCTCCCTGCCGGATCCTCAGTTGTCAGCCAACAGCACAAGAGCATGGGATCTGCCCTCCACTGGTGCTCAGAAGCCTCACGCTCCTCCGGTGGCACTCTGGGGCTCCTGGGTCCTCCAAGTCCCTTTTGGGGTCTGCTCTGGCGCACAGGGCATCAGTGGTGTCCCGTCCCTTGGGCCTAGCTCTGCGCTATCATGGGCAGCTGGAAGAGCAGTCACTGGTGGGGCTGAGGCCTGAGGAAGCTGGGGGCGGTAGTTCCTGAGGTGCTGGCTGCCCTGCTGACCGTCCCTCTCCCCGTCCAGCATCACCGTGCCCCTTAGGAGACTGAAGCACTTCGACTGTGAGGAGAAGCAGGCACTGCTGGTGAGGGGCGTGTCGCCTGCTTGCTTCCTGAGGGTGGTTCTGTGGCTGATCAGCGTGGCCTTTGTGGCTTTGGGGTCCCTGGCTCCTGTGTGTGTGTCTGCCACCTGGGTTGGGAGCAGGGCTTAGAGCCCTGGGTTCCTGGGACCCCATGCCTTGCCCCTCCCTGAGCTTTGCTGTCACGGCTGGGCCACCTGGGAACCTCACCCTGCATGTCCTGTGCACTGTGCCTTGGCTGTGAGGGGTTGAGGGCCTGGGCTGTGTCCTGGTCACCTGCCTGGGCGCTTCTTCTTTTCCCTTTTTCTATTCATGCTGGGACTGGAACCCAGGGCCTCCTGTGTGCTAGGCATGCGCTAGCCACCGAGTCCCCATTTCCTTTTCCTGATTTCCAATCCTTTAGAAGGTGGGCACTGCACCCCCTGCCCGAGCCTGGCTTTCTTGGGAGTCGGCAGCCCCAGGTGGTGAGCTCGCCTCCCTGCAGTGTGGAAACCACGCCCTGTCCAGCACCTGGAATGCTGGTGGGCAGGTGCTCTTGGCAGAGGGTGGGCTGGCACCAGGGGCCACGTTGAGCCCTCTGGCCTCCCAAGAGAGAAACCCAGGCCCAGCAGGTCAGGGCCTGGGCCGCCTGCATTCAGAAGTGTCGGTTCCGCTCTTGGGAGTCAGAGCGGCCTCCCTGGAGGAGTGCAGGGCACTCAGGAGGGCGGTGGGGGATCTTCTTACCTTCATCCCTGGAGCACACAGGAATTGTTTCTCCAACTGGAGTCCTGGTCATGGGTCAGTGGAGGCCTGGGCCCTTGGTGAGCAGCGCCACCTACGTCCTTTGCTCTGAGGAGAGTGGGTTTGGTGCCCCGTGTGGGTGGGTGGCAGGGAATGCTCATGGGCCATTTAAGTGGGTGGGGCTGGTGTGACCCTGAGTAGAGGCCGAGAAGTGTCAAGAGGCATGGCTCCTGAAGAGCAGTTTGGGGCAGCGCTTTGTGAGGCAGGTATTGGGGGCTCCCCAGGGGCCAGAGACTGCAGGTCTTCCACCTCCAACCTTAGGACATGCGGGTGGTACTCCTCCGTGGCTCTGGAGTCTTCTGTGGGCTGTCATGTGACCACCTGGCTTTGTGGGGCCTGTGGAGCTGCAGCTGCCTGCTCTCTATGACCCCTGCTGCTTGGCTGTCACCAGGAGTGTCTCCTGCTGCCCTGGAGGTGGCATGCAGGGCAGGCAGATCACGGGCTGGTCCAGGGCACCCATCCTCCTGGGTGTGTTGGGGCCACTCTCACAGAGGGCATTGGTCTTGCATCCCACGAGGACCCTGAGGCCTGGTGAGACCTGGCACTGGTGGCTGACATCCCTCCCTCCTGGGGGGCAGCACGTCCTCCAGCAGTCCTGCTGGTTCTGAGCAGTGTGTGGGCGGGCACACACACACAGACGTCCGACGACATTGGTGGGCACTGCAGGTGGCTGTCCACCTCCACTCCTGAGCACTGGCCCAAGACCTGGGCCCCTTAGTGAATGAGGAGACAGGCTCCAAGGGACTATGGGCTGCCCAGGGCTGCCGGGCAGGTGCAAGGCTCTGCGGCATGTCCTCTGGACAGAGGGGATGTGTGAGGTGGTCCTGTTGCCCTGCTAACATAACACCCTGCCGTCCGGGTCTCACAGGACAAAGCCAAAGAGGACTTCGACCGGGATATTGGCTCCTGCGTCTCCCTCATCACCGACTACCGGGTACGGTTAGGTATGTGGGGCCACAGCCTGGAAGTGCCCACTGTGGGCAGAGCAGAGGGCAGGGCTGGCACTGGAACTTAAAACCCTGAGGGCTGGCTTTAGGTCTGGAGGCAGACACGCACTGCTCCTGGTCTGTCCCCCAGCCTGGCTGGGTGCGCCATGTAAGCAGAAGGCAAGGTCTCTAGGGGGAGAAGCGGTCTTGGGGCTCCTGCCTGGGGCAGGTCGAGCTGTGGGCTGTTCTGCAGCACCCTCTTGGGTAGGCTGGGGAGGCCCCAGAGGAGGCATGCAGGATGGGATGCCGAAGGTGCTGGGAGGACCCACTCTCACCTTCCCTCTCCCCTGCAGGCTGCGGCTCTTTTGCGGGCTCCTTCCTGGAGTACTATGCTGCTGATATAAGTGAGTCCTGTGGCAGTGTCGAAGTGCCAGCTGGCTGGGAGGGCGTGGCTCAGTTGGTGGAGCGCTTGCCCCGCACGTGAGGGCCCTGGGTGCACCCTGGCACCACATGTCACGCACATAAGCTCACACGTGCTCCCATACTCACACACACATGTGCTTACACACAGGTGCACACACTCACATGTGTACACAGTGAAATGGAAACATGGAAGTGGGATATGCTTTTAGCCCAAGGCAAGCTGTGAGAGACCCCCCACCAGATGCACCCATGCTGCCCCTGTCTGCCATGGGGCCTGCGTGGCTATTGGGTTCAGCTCGTCTGTCCTGGTGCCCGTCATCCCACAGACTGCGTCCACACTCTTCCATGGGGGCGGGTACTATGTGTGGCAGGGACTTGGGGAGTGCAGCCCGGGCACTGGAAGGCTGGACAGTGCTTTGCAGACTGTCCTGCATTTCCTTTAGGACAGGAGCAGGGTTTCCATTCTTAATGGTTGCAAAAGGAGTGGAAAGAAGCTGGTTCTCTTTTAGCAGAGCTGCTGGGGGGTGGGGATCTCTTCTCTGCTTGGGTTAAACATGGCTGAAGGGCCCAGTTAAGAGAGGATCACCAGGATCCCGTCAAATGAGGGTCCTCAGGAACCTTAAAACAAAACCGCCGTTCAGCCGCTTCCTGGGATCTGGAGGCGCCTGGTCTGCCTCCCAGTCCTGGCCACGGCTCCAGTTTGGCAAGGCCCGTGCTCCCTGGGCTGGGCGCACGGCAGTGTGGTCCACCTGTGGCCCTGAAGGAGGCAGAGATCCTGCCCAGGCCCAGGAGGGGCCCCATGACATGTGCTTCTGTTGCAGGCTATCCCGTCCGGAAATCCATCCAGCAGGATATTTTGGGGACCAGGTTCCCTCAGCTGAACAGGGGAGACCTTGAGGAGCCCGTGGAGGGCAGCACTGTGGGGCGCAGGCAGCCCTGCAGGAAGGTGCTGCCTGACCGCTCTCGGGCTGCGCGGGACCGTGCCAACCAGAGGCTGGTGGAGTACATCGTGAAGAGCAGGGGTGCAGAGAGCCACCTGCAGGCCATCCTGAGGAGCAGGCGGCCTTCGAGGTGGCTGAAGACGTTCCTGAGCTCCAGCCAGTACGTGACCTGCGTGGAGACCTACCTGGAGGACGAGGAGCAGCTGGACCTCGTGGTGAAGTACCTGCAGGGCCTCTACCAGCAGATGGACGGTGAGGTGCTGGCGGGAGTCAATGGTGACAGCATCAGGTTCATCCTGGACGTGCTGCTGCCCGAGGTGAGCCCTGGGGGCAGGCCGCATCTGGGATGGGGTGGGAGCAGCCGCTCCTCGGAGGCCCCTGCTAGGCAGGCGTGTGCACTGACTGCGGAGTCCTGACACGCTCCGGTAGCGTGGTGAGGCTGTGTGCCTGTACCCGCGGGAGGTGGGAAGACTGTGTTCACTTGACCCGTAGATACTCAGTTGTGTCCTCTGGAACTGGGTGAGGTCTGGGATGTTTGTGTTTGTCATGACAGGGAACGCTCCTGGGACACCCGTCCTAGGGGACGATTCATCCCCACACACTGGGGATTGAATCCAAGGGCGCTGAGGGCTGAGCTGTGTCTTGAGCTCAGCAGGGTCTCGCTGGCCTTTAAGCCTGCAGTCCTGTGGCCTCACTCTGCCTCCCAAATGGCTGGGGTGACAGGCGTGCATGACCGTGCCCTGCCCGTAGGACTTTTAGATGCTATTGTTCTACTTAGAGGAATTAACACTGTGGTCAAGGTCAGACACCCACCGCAGACCTCAGTGGCTCTCCTAGACGTCAGCTCTTTTTTTTTTTAAGTTGTCAACGGACACAATGTCTTCTTTTATTTATGTTTGTGTGATGCTGGGGATGGAACCTAGGGCCTCGCACGTCCAAGCCCAGCCCCAGCCCCAGCCCCAGCCCCAGCCCCAGCCCCAGCCCTTGTTTTGATGGTTGACTTAACAAATCTCCCGGGGGCACATGTGGTCTGGGCCTGCCTTTTACTTTTACCGTGTGTGGTGACCTGGCCTCTTGTCTCTGGGCTAGAAGATGCTGTCGCTGACTGGGCTCAGTGCCTCCTGCAGAGACGGCTCGACTTGGGGGCTTGCTGGAAGCATGGGCAGTCTGGAGGGGAGGGGTGGGGCAGGTGCCAGGGCTCTCTGCAGCTTTCCCAGCCTGGTGTGGCTTCCGTGGCTGCCCCAGCACTTGCTGCCCGAGTCCAGCTTACTCTGCCCTCTCACAGGCCATCATCTGTGCCATCTCTGCGGTAGACGCGGTGGATTACAAGACGGCTGAAGAAAAGTACATAAAGGGACCTTCACTCAGCTACCGGTAGGCGCCAGGTCCCGCTCCTTGTGCTACACAGCTCCTGGGCCACCTCTTCCTCACAGGCAGCCTGGCAGGGGCACCCAGCCTGTCACTAGATGGAAGACAATCAGCAGGTGGCCCTGGAGTCCCCACCTGAGCCAGACTGCCCAGGGACCTGGGTGCTGCAGGAGGCTCCGGGCTGAGCGAGCGTTGTGGTTGCGCTCCTCCCTGACCTCCTTGGGCAGAGCCTGTGTGCCCACGTGCCCCCCCCCCCCACACACTACACACTGCACTCTCCCCACCTGCTCCCACCCCCTGGCTCTTTGAGAAAAGAGATGAAGATGAAGCAGCAGCATGGCCCTGATCAAGATGTCTCCCTCTGGTTGCGATGTCTGGCCACCCTGGGACTTTTGGCTCCCAGAGCCCCTAATCCTCCTCTGGGCGATCTGCCAGGCCTTGCTGGGAGCCAGGCGGGCTGCAGGGCAGTGACAAGCTGAAGGCTCAGTGGAGTCACAGGCAGGGTCTCGGTGCGGGTCTCGCAGGTCTGCCTCCCAGGCCCACTGTCCTGCACCCTGGAGGCGGCTGGAGCTGCAGCTGCTGGGGAGTCGAGGGAAGGGGCCTGGGCTGGGCTGTCGCGAAGGCCCAGAAGCCTCCTAGAGGGGGTTAGGTTGGGTTCTGTTGGCGGGAATTGTGACCCTGGGCAGACAGAATGTGGTTGTCACTGGCTCCTAGCGCCTGGCCCGTTTCAGTCAAAGCAAGTAGAAGTGACAGTCTGGGAGTGAGGCAGGAGCCACAGTGACTCCGCGCCAGCCCAGCTCCTCCTTTGTCCTGCCTGCTTTCTTAGAGCCTTCGTGGTGGTCCAGGCAGGTAGGGCCTCCCTCACTCCCACGGCTCCCTTCTGAGGAGCTTCTGCCCTGCTGTGCCAGTATCAGAAATGCTACAAGCCGCACAGTGGGCACACCTCTCCTCCCAGCAACCTGAAAGGCAGAGGCAGGAGGATGCAAGTCCAGGCCAGCCTCAGCACAGCCCTGTCTCAAAATAAAATGGTCTGAGGGTGTGGCTCAGCAGTAGAGCACCCCTAGATCGGCTCCCAGTGCCTCAGGGGGAGAAAAGTGTTAAGAGTCCACAGCTGGACTGACCGGGAGCCCCTCAGCCGAGCTGCGTAGAAAGGGACGCCAGTGCCGTGCGGGGGCATCTCGGGTGTCCGGCAAGCAGGGTCCAGGTTTTCCTTTGGCCTCCAGGGTGTTTTCTGCTGAGCGCCCCATCCCAGCACCATCTGCCCCGTGTCTGCATGTCAGTGCTCCTGTCCCATGGCTCTCCTCTGTCGTCCTGTGGTTGAACCCGGGTGCTCCACTGAGCTGCCACCGCCCCTTCTATTCTGCTCTGAGGCGGGTCTTGCAGAGTTGCCAGGCTGGCCTGGACCTCACAGCCTCTCGCCTCAGCCTCCTGCGTCGCTGCACAAGGGTGCCCTCACTTGGCTTCAGGGCCCTCTGGGGCTCGCGGTCACCTTCGCGCAGCGGTGTCTCAAGAAGTGCCTGCCATGGCAGCAGTACCCTCTTCCCACCGGAGGTTCTCTCCCGTGCTCCACCGGGCGCTGCAGAAACGTGAAGACCGTGTGGCCCGTTAAGCCCGCGTTTGCGTTCTGTCCGAGATGCCCTTACTCTTGGCCTGTGAGGGTTGTTGCCTCAGAGGTGTGACTGAGGACACTTGCCACAATGTGTCACCTCGAAGTGTAGTTTATAGCCTGGAATGGTGCCACAGCTGGGTCCCAGCTCCTCAGGAGGCTAAGGCAGGAGGATGGCAAGTTCCAGGCCTAGGCAGCATAGCAAGACCCTGTGTCAAAAAAAGAACTGCAATTTGGTATTTCACAGTTGTTTTTTTTTGTTTTTTTTTTTAAGATGATTATTTTAAAAAATTATGCTGGGCTGGGACTGTAGCTCAGTGGCAGAGCACCCGCCTTGCACGTGTGAAGCACTGGGTTCCATCCTCAGCACCACATAAAAAGTCAGGCTGTCCACCCACAACTACAAAAAAATGTCTTTTAAAAAATTGTGCAGAAAATGTCCCTGGGCTGGGTGTGTAGCTCCGTGGTGGAGTGCAAAGCCCTGGGTTTAATCCCCAGCACTGCCAGAATCCTCCGGCTGCAGCAGGGTGCAGCGGCTCATGCCTACGATCCCCCTGTGATCCCAGAGCCTGGGAGGCCGAGGCCAGGGGACAGCAAGTCCCAGCCTCTGCAGCCTGGCCCCATGTCCAGCTCTTTGAGTGTGTGTGTGTGTGTGTGTGCGTGCACGCAGGCGCACGCACACACAGTGACTGGTTGCCGAAATGATGGACCCTTTTGTTTTCTGAAGGGAAAAAGAAATATTCGATAACCAGCTCCTAGAAGAACGGAACCGGCGCCGCTGAGGATAGTGCCACTGCCAGGGCACTGTGGTCTGCGCGGCCTGGCACGGGGTGGCACGTCTCCCTGCGGTGCACGCCAGTGTTCTGGAGGGTCAGGACCCCGAGTCGGGCGCAGGGCGGGTCCCCCTCGCTGAGGCAGCTCCTTCCCTGGTGTCTGGGGAGGGTGTGTCTCCCCACGGGTGCTGCGAGCAGGCGCGCCCTGTGCTGGGCTGCTCCCGTGCTGTGCTGCTCCCGTGCTGTGCTGTGCTGTGCTGTGCTGGTGCGAGTTTGTCGTTTATGTGACATTGCATCCAGTATTAAATGTGTTTTTAAAAGAGGCTTGTGTGATATGGCTCGAGAAGCACCGCGTGTTGGGTCTGGTTCTATTCTGTTCCTCTCTCTGGTCTCCTCCCCTCCCAGCTCTGGCATTTGCTGGGCGGCCCTGGGTGTTGTGCTGGAGAAGCCAGCACCAGAGAGGAGCTGTTCCCACGTGCCACAGCCTGTGTGGGAGGAGGGGCAAGCCCTGGCAGTGGCCGCCCCTGAGGTCCTCTGCTTGTGTGCACCCCACAGCAACCTCGAAGAGCTGGGAATGGCTGTCCCCGGGGTCCAGCATGGCCACCACCCCACCTGGTGGCCACTGCAGGAGCGTGCAGAAAAACCAGCTCTGTCCTGGGCCGGCCCTGAGAGGCTGGCTTCTGCAGAGTCCTTCCCGCGTGTGCCCAACAGCCCTGACACACCACACTTCCCCATGCTCAGGTTGACCCTCTGCTGATTCGGGGGTCAGGTGTTTCTCTGGGCTGCTGAGCAGCATCCCGGGCCTCCAGCTCCTCCAGGCCAGATGTGACAGCTCATGTGTCCCCAGACAGCCTGGGGTTCCTTGGGACATAGCCTTGGACAAACCTTTGGGCTTTAATGACTTCCCATCCACCAGGTCCGCCTCTTCCTCCTCAACCCTGTTTCCAGCCCCTGCACTGTGGCCACAGGCCTGCTCCCTGGGCCGGCCACCTGAGGAGCCTTCCCTCAGGCACAGGTGTCAGAGCCAGCCCCGTCCACCTGAGCCCATTCACAGGTTGGCTGCACGTGCAGACCCCACTTGAGTGTCTTGCACGGTGCAAAACAGGTGGCAGCACACTGTGGTGGGGATAACTTCTTCAGGGACCACCTCCTGGGTGGTTCCGGGGCCACTTTTAGGGCTCTGTCATCTGAAGGGGCTCTGAGGTACCCCTTCCACACTCTGGCCCTCTCAGATGCTCCCTTCCTTCCAGCATGGCTGCCTGCTCCCTGCAAGACGACCTGGTGGGGAGGGCAGCACCCGTCCTGGCCGTGGCGGTCACACACCCTGGGTCCCAGCAGATAGTCTGGGAGACAGTGACATCCTACAGAGGCAGAGCATGGGTGGTGGACAGTGAGCCTCCCAGAGAGCCCTCAAACCCATGTCTGTGTCCCTGCCCCTGCCCCTGCAGCCTCAGCCTCACAGGGCATCCCATGATGATCATAAAGGTGGCAGTGGGTGCCACAACGCCCGTTCCTGAGCCTCGGTGACCTGCACACTGAGGACCCTTCCTGGTGGGCCTGCCTGGAGGGTGGCCCTGGGGAGTCAGGGAGGCTCTTCTTCCTTTACTTCTGTGGTCCTGGGGAGCAGCCAGCCTTGCTCCTGCACCTGTCCCCCTGGGCTGCACCCAGGCCCCCATTTTTAACTTTTGGTACTGGGGTGGAAACTCGGGGTGCTTTATGACTGAGTTCAACCCCAGTCTTTTTTGAAGACAGGATCTTGTGAGTCGCTGAGGCTGGTCTCAACCTTGTAATCCTGCCTCAACCTCTGGTCTCTGGGATAACAGGTGTCATCCAGAGGGGAGCATCCAGCTCTCCTCCTCTTACGAATCCATCAGATGCCATCCAGGGCTTCTGTGACCAGCCCTGGTCATGGTCAAAGTTTGCCTCCAAACTTACCGGGGAGTAAGTTTCTCTTTGGTGACACGCCAACCTAGTAGGGGCTTGGGAACAAAGGAGCAAGTCCAGTAGTACACTCTTCAGAAATGAACATGTCCCCGTTGGTTCATCAATTATGACAAACTGCTGCATTAACACAAACCAGAATTAAAGAGCTGGGTGTGGCCTTCAGAGGATCTCTGAATTATCACCATAACTTGTATGACTCTGAAATTATTCTAAAAGTTTCAGACACAACTTTTATAACAGCACTGCCTGTGTACAAGAGAGGAAAAGGCTTTTGTTCCAGCCAGTGTTGCAGATTCTGGTCAAGCCTACCTGTCCTTTTCCTCCACCTCAGCCTGGATGCCAGGCCTGGGTGGCAGCCCCTGCCCTGCCAATGCACCTGCCCTTGCCTCTCATCCCCAGGGACCAGGAGGATCTGCTTAGCACTGGGGCCCCAGCACCTCAGAACTCAAATCAGTTCCTGCCTGGTCCTCAGTCGGCGGCCGGCCTGCTGGAGCCCCAGTCTCCCATTAGGGAAAGGGGCGGAAAAGGTGGAGCAGGGATCCAGCAGGATTTGTGTGCAGCAAATGATGTGCAGTGGGAGGCGTTTTGCAAACTCGAGCCTGGTTATCTGTTTTATAATCTGTACTGACTGTAGCCCTACAAGAGTGGAAAGTGTTGGGTGGATTTACAGCACTGCCAATTTTTTTAAAAAGTGTTTTTTGGTTGTAGTCGGACACAACACCTTTGTTTTTATGTGGTGCTGAGGGTGAACCCAGGCCTCATGCCAGCGCTCTACCGCTGAGCCACAGTCCCGTCCCAGCACTGCCAATTTTTTTTAAAAAATCTAAAATACTGAAGAAGGTAGATAAAGGAAAGTTTGGGGAGCAATAGAAGTAGGGGGTAGTGGGAGAACTGGTGGTCGCTGGTGGAGTCAGCGCCAACTTCCTGGATCCCGGGCTGCACAACGGGGTGCCGTGCCGGGGAGCAAACCGAGAGTCCGGGGTTGGGTGCCAAAACTTCTGCCGAAACCCGGGATCGAACCAGGGACCTTTAGATCTTCAGTCTAACGCTCTCCCAACTGAGCTATTTCGGCAGAGCGCGAGGCGCCTCTCCTTGCCGGAACTCCGCCCCGCGCCGCTGCCGCTGCCGTCGCTGCTGCCGCTGTCGCCGTGCGCAGAGCGCGCATGCCTCGTAGGACGCCACTGGGCGCCAGGATACAGCGCTGTCTCTGTGGCGCAATCGGTTAGCGCGTTCGGCTGTTAACCGAAAGGTTGGTGGTTCGAGCCCACCCAGGGACGCGCAGGATGGCCTTTTGTTTCCAAGGGTACAAAGGCGTCGCATTTCCTTTTGTCACCCTCGCCCCGAAGGCCCCTGACCCGGAGCCATCCTCCTGAAGCCCCCGGTGTTGGCACGAGCAAGCAGGGAAAGCGCAGCGCCCCGAAGGGCCCGAACCCGGCGCCATCCTCCTGAAGCGCGCGGTGCTGGCACGAGCAAGCCGGAGGAGGCGCAGCGGAACGACCCGGACGGGGTTCCGGTTTCCGCCCGCACGCGGAGGCTTTTTCTTCATGGCCCAGGGGACCCGGAACGCTGAGGAGGACGAACCGCAAAGGTTGTCTGAAGGCCGAGGCCAAGATGGCGGCGCCAGCGGGTGAGCGCGCGGTGGGCGCCGGGCTGGGCCGGGTGGGGGCGCCGGGCCGGGTGGGGCGCGGCCAGCCTGCGGTCGGCGAGGCCGAGGCCCGGGCAGAGGGCGAGGGTCGCCCTGTTCAGGCCGCAGTGCGGGCCGGCGCGCCGCGCTCTGCTGCCGGGGCGCGGAATAGGATGGCAGGCCAGTTCCCAGGGAGACCCTGCGACCGCCCAGCGGCGACTGGCCGAGTGTCCGCGCGCGTTCGCGGTTCGCTTGAGTGCTCACCCTTGGTTACGAGTCCGGCCCTGCCCGGTGTGGTGGGAGGAGGCCGAGGCGGGAGGATTCCCCGAGCCCGGGGTGGGAGGCCAGTCCGGGAAACGTGGAGAGACTCCGTCGCCAGAAAGTAGTAACAGGGACAGAGAGAGTAACAGGGGCAGAGAGAGTAACAGGGGCAGAGAGAGTAACAGGGACAGTAACAGGGGCAGAGAGTAACAGGGGCAGTAACAGGGCCAGAGAGAGTAACAGGGGCAGTAACAGGGGCAGAGAGAGTAACAGGGACAGAGAGAGTAACAATGACAGTAACAGGGCCAGAGAAAGTAACAGGGACAGTAACAGGGCCAGAGAAAGTAACAGGGACAGTAACAGGGCCAGAGAGAGTAACAGGGGCAGAGAGAGTAACAGGGACAGTAACAGGGCCAGAGAGAGTAACAGGGACAGTAACAGGGACAGTGAGAGCAGTAAGTGGCAATGGTAATAGTAACAGTGATTACTAGTCACGGAGTGAGCCTGGGCCAGAGGCACCCCAGGGCAAGCACTTGGCTGTGAGTTTACCCAAGTCCCTGACTTCTCAGACGGGAAACTGAGGCCTGGGGACCGACCTTCATGCCCGGCCTCAGCCTGCCAAGGTTACAGTGACGTCCTTAAGAGACTCTTGAAGCTGCCGCCGCCTCAGAAGGCAGCCACCTGGACAGGCCGGAGCGAGGAGGGAGAACCTGTGGGGATTGCAGGGGTTGGGGCTGCGGACTCCGGCCCTAGACCTTGGATGCAGGAAGCTGCCCACAGCCTGGACAGCAGCCTCTCCCTTAGGCCGTCCCTCCCCACCATTCCCTGAATTAATTTGCTCTTTCTGCCACAGTCGGTGTGGTTAAACCACAGAAATTCATCCTCCGCGTCCCGGGGCCTGGGAGTCTGAGATCAAGGTGTTGCGGGCTGGTTCCTCTGAGGTCTCTCCTTGGCTTGTGTGTGGTAGCTTCTCCTTGTGTCCTCACATGGTTGTTTGTCCCTGTTTGCATATCTGTGTCCTGATCATCTCCTCTTTGTGTGTGTGGGTGGGGGCGGGGTTTCAGTTGTAGATGGACACAATATCTATATTTTATTTATTTATTTTTATGTGGTGCTGAGGATCAAACCCAGTGCCTCATGCATGTGAGACAAGCACTCTGCCACTGAGTCCCAGCCCCCAAGGCCCCCGGCTTTAAATCAGTACTGCAGATAGAACCCTTTTTAATTGATTTGAGACAGGGTTTAACTAAGTTGATGAGGCTGGTCTTGAACTTGCAATCTTTCTTCTTCAGCCTCAATCATCTGCTCCTCTCTTTTTTTTATTTTGATACTAGGGCTTGAACCCAGGGGTACTTTACCACGGAGCTACATCCTAGTCATTTTTATTTTTTGAGACAGGATCTTGCTAAATTGCTTAGGGCCTCCATAAATTGCTGAGGCTGGCCTTGAATTTGCAATCCTCCTGCCTCAGCTTCCTGACCTGCTAGG